GTGCCGATATATGGATTAAATCTCGGGCCGCTGGCGCGTGATAGTAGGAGGCGGCCGGAGGAGAACTACTTCTCCTCACGGCGCACGATATGGTGCTTCGCACTGTACATCGTTTTCCACTTTCTCTTTCATATGTATATATATTTATTTATTTCTTTATTGTGCAGGGAAAAGTGCAACACGAGCAAAAGAAACAGAAAGTAAGTGCAAGTCTTTAAGTAGACTTATAGATAAAAAGAGATGTAATATATAAAAATCATATAGTACACACACACAGTATATAATGATTAGTTACCAATTAATTATTATATTTTATATCCTTTTATCTCTTTTGTTCTACTATTGTTGCTGATTGACTTGATAGAAAAACCAACTAGTCAGAAAAGTGTGTGTTGCATATAATTATAAAAGTCTTCCAAAAGAACTGCCAATAAAATGTATTTAGACTATGTTGTGATTGTTCTTAATGTATTACTGTCATTCATTTCAACATTTTCCTATATATCATAGTATATCAGCAAATTGTTCGTATTCTCGATGATGACTTTTCTGTCGTATAATAAGCTTTTACTCTCATATGCAAAGAAATAATCGGAAAAGATTAGAAACAAATCAGTATATGCAATATTCAAAGTTCTAATTGATACGCATAATTAATACTTTCGTATCTACTGCGTTATGTCGTGACAAGTGTCACAAATTTATAGCTATGTTTGCCAACGCAGGATTTTTCAAATCTGCACGAATAATAAAACAATTGATTGATCAGCTCACGCACTAGAGCAAATTGTTTGTCAAATTGCTCAGCAGATTCAAGATAGTTGAGATGATTTAGAAGTTCTTCGACATTTTTCGAACAAAGTTTATTGACTTCGCCAATAAATTTTTGATCAAATCCATACAATTTATCGTTTGAATCAACCTGCAAATGCCATTTCTAATTACTTCTCAAGTATTTTTGAAACACTGTACGCGTCGCATCAATTTGCTAATTTCGTAATTACACAAAAATATTAAATACCTTGTCAATGTGATAACGGATAATTTTCCTGTATTACACTTGAGATGAGAGAAGATCGAGTACACGTAAATATGTATGTATATATAAATGTGACTTGATCAAAGCGTTCTCTTCGAAATAACGTTGAACCGCATTCAGCAGGCCTCTCATTATTTTAAATACTACATCGTGTTCTGGACCAACATTGTAACATAACATATCATCAATCTTACAATTGTGTGCAAATCGAAATGTGTAAGGTATAATACATACACACATACTGGAACTACTAGTAATGTTGATAAGAAACTCGACAAGTATGAAAGCAGATATGGTCGCGAACTTTTTTGTCTTCCATCAATATCAATGGTTTCCAGCATTTCTGGTACTAAACTTAAAGCGGCATTTGAAACAGGCATCAGCTGAAAAATCCCCATTTGGATACATAAAATGATGAAGTTATAACAATAAAAAAAAGAATAAACGATGAAGCAACTAATTTGTGGCTTACCTTGTTGACCTAGACATTGATTTAAAAGAACAACTTGTCCAGATAGTAAATAATATTATTGAATGGACACGTATGGACAAAAGTTAGTTACTATATAAAGGTATAGTAATATAAAACAGAATGCAGCACAAATGCCGACGTAATTCTCGTGTGATGGCTATGTACTATCTTTCTACTAGTATCAACTGCTAATCTATTTACACACTGAACATAGATAAATGAATTATTATAATTTCTGTAGTAGAGAATATATTCCTTCTATTCTGACATAAATTAAAACTTTAAAACCATAATTGACATTATTGTATATGACATTTGTAGAGGAATATAATATTGTATATCATCATATATATAATATATACTTTGACAGTCAGAGCACTCTATGTTGCGTATGTTTATATGGTTTTACCAGAAATAAATCAGACAAAAGATTATTGAACGTGAATGAATTGACATACCTAACAGAATCGTGCATTATCCTTGTTGCAATAAATATCAGAGCATTTATGATAATGGAGTCCGTAATAGGTCCGCTTTGCATATTCAATCCTTTTATGACTGTTTTACAAACTTCAACTTTAATGCTTTCATTGTGAAACAAGTCGATTAAAGGCAACAAATTGTCAATTGGCAATTCCTTGAAAATATTGTAAATGTTTATATACTGTACGTTTACAATTATATAAAACTAATTATAAAAAGAGAAAATGCTAAACAAAAAGATAAAACAGAGAAAAAGAAAACACTTACTATGGCAGAGATTCGAAATCTTGCGTATGAGCAACCATTTTTTCAATAATATTCTGTAATAGTGGATAATACTTTTCAAAAGTTTTTGTTCGGCCGTAGACAGTCTATTATTTGCCAAAAAATAAATTCAATTTCTTTACCTATGCAAGTAACACACCATTATTACAAAGAAAGATAATCATAACCTAATACATGATTTGTGGTTATGCGTATATGCGTACGTATATTTTTTGTACTTACGGTTGTCATCTGTTGGTTTTCTTCTTAAATAAACAGAAGTATTATATATATGTAAATAAATTATGTTCGCACTTGCTCTTGTTGCGCTCTCTCTTTCTCACAGTCACTCGCTCGTTTGATCGTCGCTCACTTATTCGCTCACTTGCTCTCTTTCTCTCTCTCATCACATATTAAAGTTCTCTTCCTTTCTTTCGTTAGCGCTCATACCGCCATCTCTTGGAAGCACTAAGAACCTGGACACATTCTTGATCCGGAGACGACAAATTCCGAAATACGTGAATTTCACACACATTTTTGTTTATCTTTCATTATCTCTGCTCACAAGCCACAAACTAAAAAACGCCAGGGTACCAATTGTGTATTTATGCGAAGTAGTGAAAATTACAAAAGTGAGAAAATTTACTAAAATATCTGTGATTTTATTAGTCGACAACTAGTAAACTTTCTCACTTTTGTAATTTTCACTACTTCGCATAAATACACAATCGGTACCCAGAATACTTTTTCCTTCAATTTTTCAACGCGAATCGAAGGAGTCCAAAAAGAAGTCGATCGGTTCAGTCGTTATTGAAAAATAGCTGATTTAAAATCTCCCCTCTACTGAAATACCTGATTTTCGCGTATAATAGGCACAGTGTACTCGCGCAGTTCGAGTGCCACTTCGTTGCGCGTGAACTTGGCGCGAGGCACTACCGTGCCTCTTGATTATAATATTTTTGTAGGCGGACATTTCAACGTTGTCATAAGCTTGCAGTAACATCGCAGAAATATTTCGCAACTATCACGCAATATTACAATGTTTTACTGTAAGATTTATGCAATAATACTGCAATCTTTCGGTGCTGTATGGATAATGCAGCAAAACCATTTTTTGCAATATTTGCATTTTTGGATATAATGTTTATATTCTAATTAATAAATTAATTTGATTCTCATTAAATAGTAATAGTGATGGAGAATCTCACTTTCCACGATTTCAGAACTCTGATTGAGACATGATCAGAAAACGTTAACTAATTATTTTAAAATACTCGATAAGCATTATTGAAAGCTCAGTTCACATGCATCTCATAGAAACTGATTTAATTCTTGATTTAAGATTTTGCTGCATCATTAATGTGCAATATTTCAACATATTTATAATTTAGGAGTCATTGTGCATTTCTATAAGCATATACATGAATTAATTTTTTCATGTGCAATTATATTTCTATGTTTTAAACATCACATAGCTGAAATTTTTTTTCAATTATTAAACAATTTCTTTTTAAATTTAATTTTGCAAGTATTATGCTAAGATAATTCACCATATTGTTATTGTTTTGCCAAAATAGTATTTGGAAACTATTTTTACAAATAGTTACAAATATTTTATAAAAGACCAATATTTTTACATTTATTTCTCAAAATATATTTATATAATCGCAAATCATAAATTTTAATGCAACATAACTTCATAAATGTTTTTCTATCGCGGTTTGTATATATGTATACACGTGTATATAGACACACATACAACCCTGTGAAAAATAATTTCTCAGTTTTTTTTTTATTATTATAAAATTTTATAAGTGGGAAGGATGTGTGGAAACAGGTTCTGCGTAATAGTTTGTATATAGTAAGGCGCTTTATTTCTATAAATCTTCGGCTTAATTTAATATCGTATAGAAATATTTGGTACTTATTACGTGCCTAGATACGTTATGTCAATTGTACATCAGACTGCATTAATGGATTTTCCGCGTTTGCATTTAATTGTATATTTTATAACACAAAACAAATATCACCGATTAGTTTAGTCTTCACGTACGTAAAACAGTTACGTTAGTAAACTAAAACATAATTTATATAAACTATTATAAATTATTTATAAAATCCATTCTTTTTAAATTATTTAAAAAATTTGAACGCAAGCACGCTAGAAACTATTAATGCATCTTAATGTACGCTAATATAAATACAAAATTCCACTCGCAACTCAATATTCGGTCTTATGTAAAATACGAATGTCCATTTTTTTCAAGGCTTGTTTAAAAAAGGGACAACTCCGATCTGTTTTTATACACTACTGTTGCCGCTTCCGTCGCCACTACCGCTGCTACCTACCGTCAGCGGCTTTCCATGCTTATCCCGTTTAGCGTTGTGATAGAGGTAGGAGTGTACACGCAGACTGTTACTGTTCTTATATTTATTGCCACAAAGCGTACACGTGAGAGTTTCAAGCGGACCATGAATATAACGAACATGAAGCTTGAGATTCTCTTTGCGCGTAAAATGACGAAGGCACCACGGACACGCATACATGCGTACCACTTTGCCGCGTTCCATTCGCAGCGTAGGGCCCAATTCCGAGATGACTCGTAGCGTTGTTTCCAGCGGTAGACTGCTGCTGGGAATGTCTTTTGCGGCACTCTGGATTTTATTGCTAGGATTTGTTGTGTCGTATGTGATATCATTTTGAAACGTCGCGTTATTCAAACCTGATAAGAAAAAATTTAAAGAAACGTTAAACACGAAAGTTAGTTTTGAAAAATTATCGAAAGATTATATCGAATGATGTGTGAACTGGAGAAATATGTTAGACAACAGATATGCAAATATATAAAGAAAAAACCAGCAAAGGAAATATTTTACATATGCATGTAAGTCAATGTGCACAATAAAAGATGATGTTTCATGAAATTTATCTACCAAAAGATAAGTTAATGAAAAAGATATCAAATAAAAAGGGTAAAATTTGATAGAAGAGAAGAATCAACAACTTAGTTTTTCTTATAAAATAGATTAATTACAACTAATAACATGTAACAAGATGAGTGTAATACATATTGCATCTGTACGTGTTTTTGAAAGATTGTATTTGAAAAACTAGCGTAAAGAATATCTTGAAGAAGAGAGAAAAGTAGAAACATCTTTAACAAGAAACCAATCCACAAGCATTCGTAGATAAAAACCCAAATATACGTGCTGTTTTCTATTTCTAAAAAAATGCAAACACTTATGAATTGGTTTCCTCTTTAAACAGACAATTGAACAAGTTAAAACCACGATAAGCGTAATGCGGCAAAAGTGTAAAACGTACCAAATGGTTGAATTTGTGAGTTCTGATTGTAGGAAACTAACTGCATATCTGGCGTGAAATCTGTAAGATAATATCGCTTTCTCTAAACATTCATAGCCGATGAAACAAAATGCCTAATGAATGTATGTAAAATGCGAGATATAAACTTGTTGAGATACATTGCTTGCTCGGATTTGAAACACCCATTCTCGTGAAAACATGCAAACGTGGTATTGCGCTTTGATCAGAGAGATTAAACTGATTTTAACCCCCAGTGTTGCAATCTAAGAGATTGTTTTGTATTTCAATGCTATGCAAAATTGGCACATCAACCAATACTTGATACTAAAACTCGGCAGGAAAATATCGCTTATTAAAAGGTTTCAAAATCATTCATATAAATACCGGGGGTTAATTAAAAAAGTACACAAATAGTGCGTAGAAGAGCTTGCGTCGCAATCAAATGTGATAATGAATCTTAATAACAAATTACACATCTATATCGTGACAACATTTGAATGTGTCAAACCTTTGGAAATACCGCTGGCGCTTTGTTCTTTGTCAAAGGGCGTTTCACCTCCGTTTTCGACGACGTCACTTTCGACGACGTCATTCAATCTATCGATAGCGTCGTCGTCTAAAGAATGAGATGCCGACAGAACGAAGGAAGATCACTACCTTGTTTTTGTATGTTTTCCTTAGGGTCATAGAATATTCTTTCTGCTGTGTAAGATTTGTATCTTGATTGATCTGTATCCATATCGAGAGTGTAATCTAGTGGCTCTTGCTTAGCTTCTTGCAGCTGATTCACATCTGATGTACAATCTAATGGTTGCTCTTCTGTATTCCTTGGTGATTTATCCATACTTCTGCACCTTTCATTGAACTTTGATGGTGTGTCAGGAAGATTATAGTTGTCTTCTATACAGCTTTCTCGATTGTTAGTGTCATGTATGTTTGAAGATACAAATACTTTTCTATTTGTTGAAATTTGTAAGGTATTTTTAGGTCTCTTTGTTGATTGTCTCTTTTCTATGGTATGTGACAGCCTGTCAAAAGTGGAGTCATTTTCATCCATGTTGCAGGGAGTGCTTTTGTCCTTTTCTTCAAATAGTTGTTCCTCAAAGTCTTCGACATTTTTTCTAAGACCCTCTTCCAATTTCTATAATACAGAAATCAACTTCATGAGAGTGTTTCTGTTCATAAAGTTGATTGTAATGCCATCATAACACATACTTCATCTGTTTCTGCAGTTAGTCCTTTTATTTGAAGAGTCTCTGCAACTTTTAGAAAACTAGCAATATCTTCTTGCTTTATATTTACTTCTCCTTGATACATAAAATGTAGCATAGCTGACAAATCTCGATAATTAACATCCTTTAATATGACAATTGGATGTTTGCATGAATTTCCCTGCATACAAAATGTAAAAACTAAAATTATATATTACAGCAACAAAACTTAAACAAATATAGTTAGTAATATTATACATACATACATATATGTGCATATATACATATTAATTATATTAAAATAACACCTTAAAAAGATCTCGAAAATATGTACTGCAAACTGACAATATCAATTTGTGAGCTCGTAGAATTTGTCCTTCAGCAGCTAAAGTAACATCTACAAGCTGTTCATCTGCCAGAAGTGTATACAATCCCGAAGACAAGTTTCTTGGGAAACTGTTCCATACTAGGGAGAATTGTTCTTCAGACATTGTTCTATATTTAAAAAAGAAAGATATTTTATATATATACATATGACAAAACAATAAAAAATATCAATGTTTACACAAGCAATATGATATAGTTCATAATATTGTGACTATTTTATATGTAACTGCAAACAAAACACATGTTACTCTACATTGTTAAAAGAACATTAATACATTATTTTTTACGATTATTAATGGCCTACTGAAAAATATTAATGGTACTGGGGTAATTAAAGTTTTTTCTTTACCTTCAACAATTTCGCACTCAAAGCGATTAAAAATCGCGTTAATACAATTCAAAGAAATAAAAAGTTACTTTATGAAAATAATGATGCTCTCGGAAGACTTTAGTACACAGTACATCAAATCGCATGTGTCAACAATAATGCAAAGTTTGACAGCAATATAGTCTATAGTCATTTTCAAGTTTTATCATTTGAATTTCGTTTTTTAATTGTCAACATCTCACAAAAATTGGAATACAAAATCAATGTCAATCGCGTTCCTAACAATACGTCCACTTTAGTATGAATCACTTTGTTATTTTTGCGAATGTTTGTACAAATTACAAAACCAGCAAACCATAAATCACATTAGGAAGAAGCCTGAGAGCGACTATCCGTACTACTTTCTTACGACGCTCTCGTAGGCTGCGGTCCGTTTCATGCTTAAGCGCACATTTATCTATAGTATACGTGACATATATTACAGATAAATGCGCGATTAAGCATGAAACGGACCGCAGCCGTAGAGTCCCTGGAAATAAGAGTCTGGCCAATGTTGTCAAACTTTTCATTGGTTCTGAAACAAAATGGCGGAACCAATGGATAACGTTATAGCCACACATTAAATTTGATTTAAATAACAGTATGCCTGTTCATGGTGGTAGCATTTTTTGCTCTTAT